TCATGGGAGGGCCTTGTGTTACCTGGTAGTTAACCTGGAAGTGGCACCTGCCCAGTCCCCGATGGGACATATGTGGAGTTTTGGTGGCCAGCTGTGCAGCTCCCAAGGCTCTGGACTCCTCAGCTAAATGAGCAGCCTGAGCAGAGCAGTCTGCCAGCCCAGTGCCCTGGCTGCTCAGGGGACCACCTAGGAAAAATATCCTTATTGTCCTTCCTGCCCAGCCTTCTCATCCCGCACCTCAGGGTTGAAAGGAGCACTCCCGATGGGCCCTTGCCAGTCGATAGGCAGGCAGATGGTGAACTGGTTGGAGGTTCCCAGTGTGAGCTGGCCCCCATTAGCAGGGGCGGGCATGGAATGACTTTGGGTAAGCAACCGAAGTTGCTGAGTCTTGGATTCTTCATCTTAAAGAGGAAACACTTCTGTCATTGTGGTGTTGTGAAGACTAGGAACCAGGCCCTAAAGTGCCCAGCCAACACCTGCCTTGCAAATGGTGGGTGTCATGAATGCATGCACAGGCCCATTGCACATCTAGGGAAGTGAGCCCACCCAGCTTCCAGTGAGATGACAGAAGGCATGCCTGCTTGCACTGAGTTCCTGAGAGCCATTCCCTCTGTACCTTGTTGCTCAGCAGGCTTAAGAGAAGTCTGGCTTATGCATGGATGGCCTGGTCCCCAGATCTGTGCAAGTAAGTGAAGCATCGGAGCAGAGCTGCCCAAGCCAGCTATCTAACTCCTCAGCTTTGTATACAAGGACCCCACAGCCCAGCAGGGACCTGTCAGGCGTAGGCGCTTTGGGGACGTTCAGGAAGGGCCAGCAGAGAGTGTCCAGATGCCCCTGATGATTGGGAGGTGATGAAGGAATGGGGCTGGTGAAACCAGTAGGTGCCCAGCGCCGTCCCAGCATAGGGGACTAGGCGCCCTTTGCCCATGTTCAAGGGCTTTGAGGGCCACTTTTGTATTCACAAAGCTCGACTTGAAAGGTTGGAGAACCAGGGACTGCGGTCTAATTTCAGAGAGAGGCCCCAGGGAGGAGGTAGAGGGCCAGGGCTCTGAGGGATAAATGCCTCCCCATGGAGTCCTTCCACGTTGTCGAGCCTCCTTTCCTGCCACGTTAGCCATCTTACCTGGGGAAAGAGGCCTGGAGTCCCTTTCCCAGAGCCGTGGCTTCCTCCAGTGAGGCGCTTGGAGGGAGACTGTTAGTCCAGCCTGGAAGGCAGCTTCTATCGAGAGCAGGTCTGGCCCCCGAGTGCATGCAGTGGTCTCCCGGACAGGAAGGGAGCTGTCTGTCTGCAGTCTCTTCCCAGCCGCATTTCAGGTCTGCTTCTGGAGCTGGGGAGAGAGTCGCCCTGCTGCCTCCTTTCCCAGGCCTGGACCTGGACTTGGACATGATTTTTCTGTGTAGGAACTGGCAGTGACATTAGTATTGCCTGGGCGCTGCTATTTAAAACCACAGGAAACCCCCTGTGTGCTGCTGCCAGCAGAGTCAAGGAGTCGCTGGGTGTGCAAACCCACACAAGTGGAATATTCTACTGCCTGCGGTTCAGCAGGGCAGCCTTGGGATGGAGGACATGCATGGCCTTGGCCATGTGGTGCTCCCGTCATGTTGAAGAGATGCAGGCAGTGTGGGAGAGGGGAACTGAACAGAATTCCCTGTTTACGCAGAGCTCAGCAACGTGGGGAGGCTCTTAGATTCATGAACTGTCAGAGGACCCCCACCCTGGGGCACCCCTCTCCTTTCTGGACCCCGGTCTTTAACCTAAGAGGGGCCTGGGGACCAGAGACTCCAGTGCCCCTGCTGGACCAGAGCCCACTGTTCTCACCCAGCTCTGCTCCTCCTGCTTCACAGGGAGGCAGCCCCCACCTGGGGTGTCCCCGTGGGCCTCCAGAGAACTGTACCCTGACAGGTTGGTCCTGACCCAGCCTGAGGCTTCCTGGCCTGTATTCCTTAGTAACTATGGCAGTACCTCTGTTCAGTGCCCCCTGGGCTCCCTGGCTGAGGGCTCCCGGTTACAAGGACACTGCTCCTTGTGCCCAGAGCCCAGACTCTTCCATAAACACCTATGATCTTCTAATGGCTTTCCCCCCAGGACCAGGGGAATCTGTTATTGCAAGAAGGGTCAGGGACTTGTTCAACATTAGTCTGTGAAGAGGAAATGGAGCCAGGACTGAGGCCCCAGTCGACCTGCTCCCTGCTAACCTCCCCCAATTCCAGCTTCTCTGCCCCTCATCCAGAGCCTGCCTCACCTGCTCACCCTCCTCTATAGACTCCCACTTCTATTCCTAGCAGGTCCAGCCCAGCTGCTCCCAGTCCCAGTCCTGGCTCTGTTCTCCAGCCCCCTTGCCAGCAGAGTCTTCCCTCCTGTCCCTTGTGTCTGCCCTACATGGCCCCTGCTGGGGGCAGCTCCATCCCACCAGCCTTTGCACAGCCCCCTGCTGGCCACTGTATCTGCAAATTCCATGTGAAATGACATGTTGCAGCCAGGTGACAGTGGCCCTGTCTGGTCTTCCTCGGATGGGCTATTGCTGTTGGGATGCAGGAGGTCATTTTCTGGGGTCCTAGAGGGTCCATCGGTCCAAGGAGGCTGGTGGACTGGGTGTCCATCCCTCACTAGACAATGAGGAAGCTGAGGCCCCTATAGAGGCCTGAAGGGCAGTGTGGGTTCAGGTGCCCCCTGATGGGGAAGTGGGGTGGGATGGGTCAGCCCTGGACTGAGGACACCATGCCCTCCGCTGCCTCCATCCCCTGGAGCCTGTCAGACCCTCGCCCTCTCTGAGCCCTGTTGCAGGGACGTGATCAGCAGGTGGTGACCTGCTGTGCCCCTTCCTCTGTATGGACCTTAATGTCCTCCTCAGGAGCAGGACGGCCCATAGCACATCTCCCATAATTAGGTCTCCCATTGTTTCCCCCATTGTCTGTCCTGATTGTTTGTGCAGCTTTCCGGGTGCTTAGATAAGAAATGCCTTGGCCTTCTTTAGCCTTCTTTAGTGGCTTCCATCAGAAGGATCTAGAAGAACATCCTCATCAGTAAAAGCCCGGCCCTCTCTTAACGTGGCCTGGCAGAGCACTATCCTCCCTTAAGAATAGACATCTTGGTGGCAGGGTGGCGGATTCTGGGGTGGGGATAACAATGGCCAGGTTCAGGAGGAAAGAATTCCTCTCCTTAAACAGATTTTTAACTTGAAAACATGGTGACAGAAGCAGCTGAATCTCATCAAAGAGAGAAAAAAATAGGAGGCTAATTTAACCTTGATTTAACCTTGAGCCCCAGCAGCCTCCACAGCCAGAGCCTGTCCAATGTCCTCATGGCAGCTGCGGGAATGAAGAGCGTATCCTCAGGGTTCCCCATCAGGACAGGACCCTTGCCATCTCCCTCTTCTGCAGAATTCCTCACTTCTCCTGCCAAAGTAAAGCTTTGTGGTTTTTATTGTATGGTTTTGCTGGTCAGAGATCCACTTAGAAACTCAACATGCTTCTCAGTCCAGGTTCTCATCACCCACCTCAGTGGCTTATGTATTAGGAGACACTTGACCTTCATCTCCATAGCCTGTTCTTATTAAAGTTAACTTAGGGATATTTTATTTCTAGAGAAATGTTTATTGCTGAAGGGAAAAAAGATTTTTAAAAAGCAGTCACATAGGTAAGGGTTTGAATGCCTGCTTTATCCCTCACTCCTCCGAACCTTGGGCTCTCCAGATGGAAATAACAATGCCTGCCTCGCACGCTTGTTGTGAACTTAAAGTAAGAAGGTGCTTAATAAATGTTAGTTCTCTTTTCTGCCCAGGAGACACACAGGGTTTCACTTAAGAAACATCTGAGAAGGAGAAGTTTGGTGAGAGGAGAGACCTGCAGGTTTGCTCAGCCCTCTGGTACCAAAGCCTGGGGTGGGGCTGCTGTCCCTGGGGAATTCCCTTTTAAGTCTCTGTTCAAACTACTTGGAGGCAAGAACTGTCTCTGCTGCCACATGAAATGACATGTTGCAGCCGGGTGACAGTGGCCCTGTCTGCTGTTTCTCGGATGGGCATTGCTGCTGGGATGTAGGAGGTCATTTTCTGCAGTCTTAGAGGACCTGTCAGTCCAGGGAGGCTGGTGGATCAGCTGGCCATCCCTCCTCACTAGACAGTGAGAAAGCTGAGGCCCTAGAGGGGCATGAAGAGCAGTGTGGGTTCAGGTGCTCTCTGTTAGGGAAGTGGGATGGATGGGGTCAGGCCTGGATTGAGGACACTCTGTCCTCCCCTGCCTTCCTCCCCTGGAGCCTGTTAGACCCTCGCCCTGAATGTCCCCTTGCTTCTGGGTGTTTCAAAACAGTCTTTGCAAAGCTCACTTTGACTTTCACTGCAGACATGACAGAGGTGAGGTCTGTGGAGCCACCAAGAGCACCGGCACTGTGGGAGTGGCACGCCTCACCCCATGGCCACAGGCCACTCACTTTGAATGCAGTGTGACTAGAGAGCAGTATTTCTCTTTCTAACTGTCTTGCCAGTGGGTTTCAGCCCCAGGCAAGTTCACTATGGATTCAATGTGACCAAAGAAATTGACAGCAAAACGTTCTTGGGGTGAAAGGGTTATACCCAACTTTATTTTCAGGTGGCAGGTCAGTCACTAAAATCCCATTCAGTTAGAGCGAGTCTGCATGCAGCAAGCCGGTCTCTGCCTCTGGGCCCCTCTTTCCGCACAGCTCTCCTCTGGGCCTCTCTGCCTGCACAGCCATCCCACACAGCCATCCTCTGGGCCTCTGCACAGTTGTCCCACATAGCTGTCCTCTGGGCCTCTGTCCTTGGCACTGCCACCACTCCAGCCTCTGCTTTGCTCTCCTGCAGCCTTGCAGCCCTGCCACCGTGTGTGCCCAGAGCACTGGGCAGTGCAATGTTTATAGAGTCAACAGCCATGTATTGCCCACAGGTGTGCAGTGAGCAAGTCCGCCAGGGCCAGGTGAGAATCCTGGCCACAGAAACTCTCATTTTATCCACACTAACCTAGAGCTTTCATTTGCTTGTTTCTAGAGTAAATCATGGAGGAAAATAAAGAACATGGTGCACTGGTCTCCCTTTGTCATGTCCTTCAAGAAGAAGTACCCCTGGATCCAGCTGGCAGGACACGCAGGTAGCCACGGCTCTCCCAGACTTTGCATGGGATGATTGGGCTTCTGGGAAGCACCCAGCATGGGTGGGAGGGGAGGGCCTGCCCTGGACACCCCCAGGCCAAGGGCATCTGAAACATCTTCTCTCCTGGGGACTTTGTGGCCTGCAGTTGGAGCCACACTTGTGAGATGTGGCCTTAACCCTGCCTTCAAAGTGGACACAGACAACTGGCCCTCTCCAAGTCTGTGCCACCCTTTCCCTAAAATACACCCAGTCCTTGGTCTCTGTCTCTTTTGAGCTCTGTCTCTTTCAATTTAACTTAATAAAGATGAAATCAAGAATCTGACAGCTTGCCTGCCATTTGTTATCCTGGAAAAGAGGCAGTGCTGACCCTTGATTGAGCATCTGCTGTGTGCCCACATCACCATGGTTCTATATGTAGTATATTCCCCTTGGGAGCTCATAGGTGGTCAGAGATGCAGGCAAGTCATACCACAAGCATGAGACAGTATGGAGTGCCGAGGCAGTAGGCCAGCCATGGGGTCTCCAGTTTGCCCATCAGAGATGGGAGGAGGGACATGTGGTGCCAGACCCCAGAGCTGGCCAGGCCACACGTGGGGCCTCTTTGGTGTACATCCTCCTCCAGGGGCACTTCGGTGGCTGTGGGCCGTGTGGTGGCCGTGTGTTCTCCATGCCCTCAGGCCAGCATTGGGTCTGACTTTTCTGTTAACCCAAAACACACTGGCCCAGCCCAAGGCTCATGGATAGAAACCCCTCCTAAAAACTTACTTGATGCTGTGGCCCAGAATAATCACCACCCAGGAGAGCCATGCCTAGATGCCCCTTCGCAGACAGGCTCCTGGCGGGGCTCTGAGCCCTGTCCTATCAGGGCTTCTCCTCTACTGAGACGGGGAGCATCTTTGTTCCCTGAGAAGCAGGCTAATGGTAGAGATAGGGATGGTGACTGTAACCCCAAGGGGGTGAATAGCTCTTGGCTCAGACCTCTTGCTCAGCCCTGCTAACCCGCAGCACCTGGCACTCGGGTCCCTCCATCTTCAGATGAGGAGCATGGGGTCAGGGAGGTTGAGGAACCAAACCAGATTTGCAGTCAGTGTGGGGATCTGGGACTTCAACCCACTTCCCTTAAAATGCTCAGTCCACAGTGGGGGCCCCAGGCACACTGCCAGCCCCATGCCTAGTGAGCCCTCAGCTGAGAGGCCCAGGCACTGTCACTGAGGGGGCTGCCACATAGGTGGGTCACAGCAGGTAGAGCCATGGCTAGGGACCAAGGGCTTGCTCCCACCTTGCCCTGCAGGGAGTTTCAAGGCTGCTGCCAATGGCCGGATCCTGAAGAAGCACTGTGAGTCAGAGCAGCGGTGCCTGGACCGGCTGATGGCTGATGTGCTGAAGCCCTTCGTGCCTGCCTACCATGGGGATGTGGTGAAGGATGGGGAGCGCTACAACCAGATGGACGACCTCCTGGCTGACTTCGACTCACCCTGTGTCATGGACTGCAAGATGGGTGTGAGGTGAGCCGGCTCCCGGGACTCCCAGGCCCGGCACTGTGGGCCTCACCCAGAGACCTCCCCTGGGCAAGGCCTGGGGGTCTGGTTGGATGACTAGAACCCTGGTGCCCTCACAGGATGGGCAGGGGCACAGGGTCTTCCCTTCTGCAGTGAGCCGGGGCTGGCTGGGTGCTGAGCCTCCCAAGGGAGAGGGCAGAGGACCCCCCTCAGGTCGGGGGGCCTGCTAGGGGTCCCCATCACATGAGCTTGGTGGGGAGCCAGTAGAGGCTCTTCGCATTCCCTGCCCCTGCTGTGCCCCCAGCCCAAACAGTGAGTGGGAGAGAGCTGGCTAGCAGAACGTGTGGGTCTGTCAGCACGGAGGAGGGGGTCCAGGAGTGCCAGGGCCCAGACATTGCAGCCTGGGGTGCAGGGTGGCTCTGGCGGGGGGCAGGGTGCCCCACGGCTAGGGTGGGGCCTCAGGAGAAGGTGATGCAGGCACCTGTAGTATCTTAAACTAAGGGTGCCTTGGGACCCAGTTCCCATGGATATAGGCTCACCTTGCTCTGGGGAGTTTTCTTAGACTGGATCCTGCTACTCTTTGTGTTCTGCGACCTGCTGTGGAGACTTGGATGTGTCTTCCTGACATATGGATCAGGGCCAGCAGGTGGACACTGTTTGCAGGACCTCTGCTTTTATTGCAGCTGGGGTGGCTTTGGGGTGTCACCTGTTGGGTCCCATGGGCTTGCTGTCTGCCGCCCCTAAGGAGTTCTCCTTTTGCCTAGTCTTGAGTGGCCTTTCCACCCAGCAGGCCTCTGCACCCCATGTGAGATGAGGTTTCCCCTGGGTGCACAGGGTGGAGCACTATCCAACAATGTGCAGCTTATCTCCCAGTGGACCCCCTGCCCCACCATCCTACTGATGGCCTCTGTGGGTATCTCTGCCTGCCCCTTTGCCCTCCTGGAGAGTGAGCAGTTCTGCCCAGATGGAGCTGTGGGGGCCCTTTCTAGAAAAGACCCATGCAAAAAAGGACTTGACATTGAGGCCTGCTTCCCGCCTAAAGAGCTACTGAGAGCTCTCTGCAGAAGTGCAGGTACTCGGGAGCATTTGGGGCCCCACCGCCACCACACCGCACACAGATCCTCTCCCATGGGCCAGCGTCATGAGAAGAGCACTGGCGGCCCCCAGGCTCTGCCCTGAAGCTCCAGCATCGCTGACCTGGCTGTGCACACAGTGTGCGTGCGTGCGTGTGTGTGTGTGTGTGTGTGTGTGTGTGTGTGTGTGTATGTGTGTATGTGTATGTACATGCACAGGTGTGTGTGCACAACCAAGGCAGACACTCCTCTGAAAGTCAGGAGGTTTTTTCATCACCTCTTGAAAGGTCCTTGACCAGGCCCAAGTTCACACCCAAGTATTTTGTTTTCTTATATAAGTTGATACAGTGGTTTCTGAAATTTACCAATTAGAGATATCATGAATTGATGTTCAGTCTGTTCTGAGTCCCAAACCAGCAAAGCAGCTTGGACATGTGGAAGTGGAGGGGCGAGGCAGGGGTGGGGGCCAGACCTGCTGTCACAGCTGCTACCCACGCAGGGCCGGGGGGGACACTTCCACCTCCTTCAGATGACCCTGTGGATTTCTGTTTCATGAAGGGTGATGGGCAGTGACTGAGCCCACTGGGGAGAGAAGAGGGGCTTACAATAGGAGCAAGGAGAGGGTGGGCCTTTGTGACCACAGCATGCTCCTGTCCTGTGCTCTGGGGTGACTCCCCACCTCAGTTGGCAGTTGGGGTGAACGGCAGCCCAGGGGCCTGGGGTTAGCCTCAGGCTGCTCCAATCCTGTATGATCCCTTCCCTTCTTACCTGCCAGTTTCCAGGGGACTGCCCCCCCCTCCACCCCCATTCAGCCAGCAGGCTTATCCTGCTTGTTTGGAGGACAGGGCAATGAGCAAATGAAGTCGGTCATGTTTTCTCGGGTTTTTTGCAGGAGGCTCAGGATTGAGGAGTCATGGGCTGGGCGGAGGCCTGATGTCTGTGGGCAGGATGAGCTAGGCGTGGTTGTTGACAGCACTGAGGTCATGGAGCCCCCAGACCTTCCCTCCAGCATCATGGCCCCTTTGAGGCACCTTTTGGCCTGACCTTTGTACTCATGATGTCCCCTCTTTGGAAAAAGCCAGAAACATCTAATGGTGGCTTAGCCCTTTAGGCTGCCTGAGAACGTAGGGAGATGGGGACATGGGGGACAGAATGAGCTCTCCCTCCCACACAGGCCAGCTTTGGGGGCTCTGGCTTTATAGAAGGATCCCAGGCAGCAAAGTGGGGCCAGCTGGGTCCCTGAGTAGACCCTACCCTCAGCCCCCACTCCAACCCTGGCAGGATGAGGGGAGGGGGCACAGGATAAGCCACGGAGCTGCCCTGCCATGGCAGCTCCTCTGCGGAGGGTTCCGCTAGATGGAGCAGCTCAGAGGCTCTGTGTGGCCTTCTCGGTGGTGTGGGAATGGAGTTGCTCCTCTCCAGCAGGGCCGCCCCACGCTGAGTCCGTCCTGGATAAGTACCTTGACTAAGGGGACAGCAGCCCTCAGCGAGGCCCCAGGGAGCAGCGGTCCCACAACAACCCCCATGTCCTCCTTCCCACCAGGACCTACCTGGAGGAGGAGCTCACCAAGGCCCGGAAGAAGCCCAGCCTCCGCAAGGACATGTACCAGAAGATGATTGAGGTGGACCCGGAGGCCCCAACCGAGGAGGAGAAAGCCCAGCGGGCTGTGACCAAGCCCCGGTACATGCAGTGGAGGGAAACCATCAGCTCTACTGCCACCCTTGGGTTCAGGATTGAGGGCATCAAGGTGAGGCCAGCCAGGTGTGGCCTGAGGCTGTCAGGCTGCCCAGGTGGGAGGGCTGGTGGCTCAGGCTCCACCAGCATCCACCCCAGGGGTCCTGGCTGCCCTCAGGCATCTCCAGAGGCTGTAAACTTCCTCCTCTTACAGGCCCAGGGCATGGGCAGCCACCCCAGGACAGTCACTTGGCAAATAAACTTGCTTCTCATTCTGGGTTCAGGTGGGGTGTCCATGTGGGGTTTTGGAGCAGGGATGGCATCTAGCCCTGCCCAGTGTCAGCACTTACCCTAGACCATGCCTGGCCCAGGGAATCCACCCAGGATCCAGTTGGATGTATGCCAGTGTGGGGAGTAGGCTCATTCTGCCTATGGCTTGAAAACCGTGTCTGGTCATGAGACACAGGCTAGGGAGGCTTGCTGGCTGCTTTTGCATCTGAGCTGTGTCCCTCGCTGTGCTCCACTATGTCACCACATATGTGTGCTGAAGCTGCACTAGGCCCCCAACCTTCTAGGCTACCTTGGTCTCCTTTCTTTCCATTTCAGTCTCCAGAGAAAGGTAAGAATGCGCTCCCTACATCCAAGCTCCTGCACCCCACCCCTTGCTTTTAAAAAGAGCCAGCTGCAAGGTGCCAGGCCCCTGAGGGTCTCGGGCAGCATCCCTTCAGAGCAGATGATGGCCGCTCTAGCATTCTTGAGTTTCCCTGCTCCATCCATTCTTGGCCCACATTGTCTAGCAGTAGAGTCAGGGTTGGGCAGCTGAGAGCCCTGACTCGTGATGACTCGTGAGCAAGCTGAAGCCTCTTGGCAGGTGGCACATAGCCATAAGTTCCTGCAGTCGGCAGAGCTCCTGCCAATGGTGGCATGCAGGGGAACGTTCCCACCTTCCCCTAGAGATCTGCATTGCAAGCTCTGGGCTGAGAAAGCCATTTGCCCCTTCCCTGTCTGAAGCCAGCTTTTCTCCTTTTTATGTCCAGCCGTCAGGCAGGATGCAAATTATACGCTCATCCTCCTCCCCCTTTTCTTTTCTTTATCTGAACATCTACTTTTCCTCCACCTGTCAAGAGGGTGTTCTGGTCTCCAGCCTTTGTCTGGCTGTAGGAACAGCCGACAGCTGTCTTCTCAAGTGGAGGGCTATCAGCTCCAAGAGAAACAGCTGTCCTCACCAGCCCTCCACCTGCCTCTCCCATCCCTTGGTCCAGGAAACACCCCCAAAGAACCCCGCAGGAAAGGCCCAGCCCAAGACATGCCACCCACCCAGCTCCCGGGGTCAGGGCTCCAACTACTCTTTCAGAGGCAGCTGCTTGCTTCCCTAACGTCCAGCCTGCTGGTGCACAGATCCGCGTCTGAGGGTCCTAGCAGAGCCATCTGCTCTCATCCTTTGTTCCTAAAGGACAGATTTCCCCCTGGAGGAACTAAGCCCCCATGCTTCCCGGGAACAGACTCAGAGCGGGGCTGAGAAAATGGAGCCATCCTCCACACTGGGCAGAGAAGGGGGGGCAAATCAGGGGGGCAGAGCGGTGGTGGGGGGCAGCATTGTATCTTGGCTTTCAGGGAACCTGCAGTCCCTGTAAGAAATTCCGAAAGGGTCTCAAATTACAAAGGGAATTGAGTTGAACAGGTATGGGGGTACCTCTCTCCTATCTGGTGAGGGAGGCACCTCTGGGTGGCAGGGGCCTTCAGACATCTGGGTTCTGGGGCCAGGCCCCTGGGCGAGTGAGGCCTCCCCTCTCCTCCAGCCCCTGTTCTCAGCCAGGCCCAGGACAGGCTCCTCTCTGCTGTGCTGCCCCATTGGCCCTCCTGCACTATGGTGGACACCTGGCCGCCCCACTGCCCTGGAGAGCTGCTAGGGCGCCCAGTGGCTTTTTCAGACAGCTGGGTGGTCAGGCAGAGTGCCCATCTCTCCTGATTCCTTCTGGGTGGGGTGTTGTTCCCCTTCTCAGAAAGAAGATGGCTCTGTGAACAGGGACTTCAAGAAGACCAAAACGAGGGAACAGGTCACCGAGGCCTTCAGAGAGTTCACTAAAGGAAACCGGAACATCCTGGTGAGTCCGGGCCCCGGAGGAGCTGGCATGGGGCCCTGGTCTGGGACTACCCACTCTGGACTGAGCCAGGCCATGCAGCCATGGCCACAACACCTGCACTGAGAACCACGGCCCCACACCTCTGCTCAGAAGGCACAGAGAAAGGTGTGGCAGTTGGCAGCCCCACCCAGCGGTGAACGGGGAGGCTTGGTGAGCACTCACCATTTCCCTTAGGGTGAACCTTGCACCCGCCCTTGGGAGAGTGGCCACGGCTGAATTTCCTTCAGGGCTACTGCCTGCCAAGTACTGTGCTCAGTCGTCGGATCCTCATAGCAGCCCTCTGGGCTGTGTGGACAGTCTTGTCCCCATTTTCCAGATGAGGAAACTAAGAGGTCAAGGACACCCAGCTAGGAAAGGACAGAGTTGAAATTCACAGGCAGGCTGGTCGGCAGACTGTGGGTCCCTGTATCCCGGGTGTGTCCCAGGCCTGGCTGGGTCACATGTCCTTCCCCAGACCTGACTGGCTGCCTCTGAGCCTGGAGGTGTGGGTGGCAAAGTGACTTGATGCTTGTCGCAGCAGCTGCATGCAGGCTGGAATGCTCCGACCACTGGGGTCAGGGCCTTGACCCTCTCAGCTGAGATGAGCCTCTACACCCGGGGGCAGGTTGCCCTGTGACAGTCAGACACCCAGACACACAGGGACACCGGCCCTGGATTTCCTGTGAGAGGCACCTTCCCCCAAACAGACTCAGGGACCACATGTGGGCAGGATGCACCCAGAAGGCCTTCCAAAGCCTGAACCCTCTGCCTCCTGGGTCGCCTTCGGGGAAGACCCCAGCTCCTCAGCAGTGCCCACAGAGGACCTTCCATGTGGTGTGTACTCTGGAATGCCCCACTGCTGCAGGGAGGACCGTCAGCCTCCCGGCTGCCCCAGGGGAGGGCAGGTACCGAAGTCAGTGTTCAGGAAGATGCCATGGTGACAGCCTGCTGGGATGCTGCCTGCTCTTGGCTGGCGTTCCAGAATGCACTTGAGGCTGTAGGGCTATCCAGCACCTCCTGCTCATGAAGGGGTGGGTTAGAGACTTTGCGGGACCGGGAGCCTGGCTGCCTGTCTTCCCTGGGCCTCGGCAACTCCACCTCTGGATGAGGAGGCTGGAGTGAACGCTCAGGGTGTGCGGTGCCTCCACTCTGACAACCAGTGACTCTAATGGCCATGTGGGGCCAAAAACCCAGCCCTGTACAAGTCTGCTCACCTTTCTGTTCTCAGATTGCCTACCGGGACCGGCTGAAGGACATCCGGGCCACCCTAGAAGTTTCTCCCTTCTTCAAGTGCCACGAGGTAGGTACAGGGCTTTTCCCTCTTGGGCTGAGAGCCATGCCCCTGTGGTGGGAAGCAGGCCTGCCACTAACAGTCCCACTTGTCTCAGATGTCTGAGGGGTGGTTTAGGGGTGACTGCAGCCAGAAGCAGACCCCCCAGTAATGCATAGTTGCCAGGGCACGGGGTCACTACCCTTGTTCTCCCCCCTCCCTCATCCCAGCTCCAGGCTCATGCATTCCGTGGCTGTGGCAGGATTTCTGTCCCCCATACCCAAGGGCCGTAGGGCAGAAGCTCTCTGAGCTGCTGGAGCAGCCCCACCCACCAAGGCTCTCAGGGGTGGCCAGGGATTCAGGAGCCCTCGGGGGTGGGGCTGCACTTCCCAGAGGCTCCTGCCTTCCCAGACGTTGGTCTGCAGCAACAGTGGGCAGTGGGTAGGCAACCTACACCCTAACAGAGGACTCAGGAGTTGTTAGCAGGTTCCTGGAGTTTATAAGATCCTGATGTTGAGGAGTCCAAGCGCAGCCCCTCCAGCTCTGCAAGCATGCTGCTCCCCAAGAATGGTTCCTGCTGTGGCCTAGTGGGTGCATGTGAGGCTGTGACCCTACCACTCCCTGCAGACTTGTAGCTCTTTCAGGATGGCAGCTCCTCCAGGGGGAAGGGTCTTATCTCGGGGGGATCCTCAGCCAGAGACTGGCCTCATAGACAAGTGGTCCGAGGACACCAGGCACCGGGTCCCGGGGGACTTTCTCTGGGGAAGCCAGGCATGCTAGCCCACAGAGCATCTTCATGCAGATCACACATTGGCCCTTCCTCCAGACAGACAGCCAGGCTTGCTCTTGGACTTTATCTCTTGCTTGCCTCTCATTCAGGATACACCTGTCCACTATATATGCTGGCCCTGAAGGGGCGCTGGACAGGACCACCACGAGGAGGGGAGGGTGGCCAGAGGGCAAGCTTGGCAGGCTCTGCCCTGAGCAGCTGCACTGAGCCCAGCTGCTGAGATGCCCTTTTCTCTCCTTGGCCTTGATGAAGCCCAGTGTCCCCAGGTCTTCCCAGAGCCTTTATTCCCAGCTTGATAAAAGGTCTTTGTGCTGCCTGCCAGAGCTTCCCCACTCTCCAGCCTGCCTCCCCTCTGTAGGGGATGGGCTGCCTGGCTGCCTGAGGCCAGGGCCATGCCCAGAAAGACTTGAAGCTGCAGAGCCACCCACGACCTGCCACGGTGGGCGGAAGGACCTCACTGCTGCCAGCAGCTGCTGCAGGCCTGTCTCACAGCGTGGCCCGCTCTTCTTCAGCATCTCTGCTGCTATTTCTCAAAAATTGCTTTGCTGTACCCTTTCTGAGTCTTATTTGTAAACTCCTGGTCTATGAAGAGGCCAGATTAGCTGGGGCTTCTGTTATTTTCCACCTGGGAGGAGGAAGCCCTCTCTCTGGGCTCAGCATTTCCAGGGGGTCTTCCTGTCCTGCCCAGGGCCTGGGAGTTAGTGACTCATGCACCCCACTGTGTCCTTCTGGCCCCACCCAGCTGCCCCAGAGGAGGGTTTGGGAGATGTGTTCCTATCTGGGAAAGCCCTTTGGCCATGCAATTGCTCTGAGGGACCCTTAGCAGGGAGGGCTCTCTGGTGCCCAGAGCCTGGCAGGACTTGTTCTGCAGGTGTGGTGGATGGCTGCCCACCACCTCAGGCACTGTGTTGCACATGGACTGGGCCCTTCCTCTGCCCCCGGGACAGTGTGACATCTCCTTGGCACCTCCCACTCATATGCATGGTTATTCGGGGTGTGCAGGAGGACGGGGAGGCGAGAAGGCCCCAAGGTTCAGCTGTGGTCAGAAGTCTTAGAAGTGTACAGGCAGGGCAGGAGCCAGGGCTGCCATCTCCAGCCTGCCTTCAGTATGCACCACCGTGCATACTGAAGGTGGTTGCTCTTTTGGGATACGAGGTCCTCTCCCCGCTCTGCCCCTTGCCATGGGCCCTGCTGCCTAGTGAGAATGAGGGAGAAAGTGGCAAGCCCAACCTCCCTAAGTAAAGGTCTCCCACTTCATCCAGGCCCCCTTGGGGTGCAGTGTGGACAGGCCGGCCGCCCTCCTCACCTCCCTGCTCCCCCCAGGTCATCGGCAGCTCACTTCTCTTCATCCACGACCAGAGGGAACAGGCTAAGGTTTGGATGATCGACTTTGGGAAGACCACCCCCCTGCCTGAGGGCCAGACCCTGCAGCACGACATCCCCTGGCAGGAAGGGAACCGGGAGGATGGCTACCTTTCCGGCCTGAACAACCTCATCGACATCCTGACGGAAATGTGCTGAGGCACCCCACTCGCCTGAGCCACCCTTGCCCTGTCTCTCTGCCACTCCCGGCCCCCGTCTGCCCTATGCTTCTTTCTCCATAATGCTTCCTTCACTTCCATCTGGGCCCGAGCCTCAGAACTGACTCTCCTGACCTGCACTACAAGACACTTTGTAGAAGAGATGAGACGAGATTTTCTAGTATTTTCTTAAAGGAAGGGCCTGGAGCTGGGGCTTCCACCTCTCTCTGTAAATAGGATCTCCTAGAAGGGAAATGCCCACCGAGGCTCAGCTCCTGCGGGGAGGTCATTGAGGTTTGGATCTGGAGGGAAGCTCAAGTGTAGCTGTGGGGGCCTGGCTACAGGCGGGCTTCTAACTGGGGAGCCACCCTTACTTACCCCAACCCAACCCCGGCGGCTGCCTGTGGGGGCCTGCTGACCCCTGGTGGCTGGTGCCTTTAGTACGGCTGCCAGGCACAGTCAGCTTCTGCCCCACCTCCCAGCCTGGGCTGCAGGGCCTTAAGAGCCCAGGTTCATAGGGGCCTGGTGTCAGTTTTCTGGTAGTGGGGGCAAACCACTGGCCCTGAGTAAAGCACCCTCTGCTTAGCGGCCCCAGGGCTTCCAGAGTTGTGTGATGGCCTGCTAAAGCGGGGACCCCACCCATCTGGTAGGACACCCACCAGCTGTGGGCCAGACCCCTGAGCCAGAAGGCTGGCTCCTTCCCAGGAGGAGGTGAGTGGGAGCTGTGTTCTTCCATCTGAAATTCGCCTGTGCACTCAGAGGGATGCTCTGCAAACCTGAGCGTCCAGGGGTGGCACCCAGCCCCCAGAGCCACTTGGGCTTCCCACTGCCCGCCTTGCTGTGCAGGGTCTGGGGAGCTGGGTGGGAGTGGCCAGGGCACAGACAGCCCTCCGAGGAACAGGGATGTGACCTGCAGGGGCCTTGGTGCAGTCCATCCGCGCAGCTTGCTTGCCTGGCCTTCTTCCATAAGCCCCAGAGGCCCGGGCAGTTGGCTACAGGCAGGGCTGTGGGGCAGTGATGGGCAGGGAAGAAGCAGGGTGCAGCTTACTGGCACCACTTTCTCCCCTGAAATACGTCTTACGGCCTGAAGGGCTTAGACCCTTAGTGCCCAGATGTGCACGTATCTTCCTGGGTATGTGTGCATGCCAGGGCGTGTTCCAGGCATCTCTTCCTGGAGTCTCCATGTGGCTTGAAGATTCGTGGAGAGCCATTAATTGAAGCCTTATTTTAATTGTGAAGCAAGTAAGTCTGTGTTATTGATATGAATGTAAAAGTTGCATGACTTTTTAAGAACAGAACTCCCAGCTCTTGGTGCTGTGCCCTCAGGTGCCCTCCTTTGCTGTAGGAGGAACATGAGTACCAGAGTTGAGCAGGCACTCTGCAGGGAGCTGCTTCAGGGATGTGGTGATGTGTGTGCACAGGTGTGTGTGCCTGGGGGCACCAGTCCAGAGAGAGGGCTTCCCCAGCTTTCCCCCATCACCCCCAAGGTCTCTGGAGGAACTGTGGACTTGCCCATGTGACACATAACATTTCCCCTTTCATGCTGGGTGAGTGACGGTTGGTGGGGGCGGAGAGTGGGACACATGAGGATGTATAAGTACAGATTTTTTAAAAGGAAATCACTTTTAAACTTCCTGGCTCCTGTTCAAAACAGTGGTGAGCTCCTGTGTGGGCTTACTTGCTAAAGGTCACCTCGCCCCTGCTGAATGCAAGAGGCCTTGTGACAGCGCGTGACCCTCCTGGAAGGCAGGGGCACCAAAGCCAGCACTGGATCTCCGACCTGTGGTCACTTGTGGGTAGAGGGGATGCCGGTGTTCTCTGTGTCGGCTCTGCTGTAAACGGACATCATTAATTCAGATGTAGGTTCTACAATGGGCTCATCAAAATGGGCTACCCTCTTTCTGTCTACAAAACAAGTTTGCTAAACATATTAATGCTATGAACAAAACTTACAGGGGACCAGCGTAACCTACTTAAGAGAACAGACTTTCCGAGCACTTTAAGCAGGCACCAGTTGTTTGCAAACAGTGTGCTAATATGCAAATGGCTGTTTATTACAGGAGGCCCAAGGAGCCTATACTGGCAATACTGTGTTTTAGGTGACATTATATATGTGAGCGTGACATCAAGTGATGTCTTTATAAGATTATTTTATTAAGGGTTTGGGGTTCTCATATTTACCATGCTAGTTCCCCCCTTCCACACCTACTCTGTCTCTCAAGTTGTTCTCTCCTTGGCCCCCCAACCCCTTTGTCCTAGTGGGAGAGGGAGGTCCTAAATGGAATTTCCCAGAACCCGTGCCAGGTGGTCTGAGACTTTCCCTGCTCAGGCCCCATCCCAGCAGGGACTCCTTGGGTCCTGACCGTGCAGGTGCCCAGAGGGTGGGACCAGCTGTGAGCACCCATGTGCCCGTGAGCAGGTGCCCCTCCTCCCCTGCACATGTGGTCCTCGGGTTTCTTGGTGTTCAGCACTGCTTGCTTAGCATTTGAGGAAGTCTCAACTGCTTGTTCAGAATTGCCTTTAGTGTCATGTAAGAAGTTTTTAAGTTATATTTATTTTGTTGGTTTTTAAAATTGCACAAAACACTAAGACTGAGAGGCCAGATTCTGTTTCTCCTTTACAGCTTTGCCTTATCTTTTCTGGACTTTGCCATGTGGTGGAAAGACCCGGATGCAGCCCTGCCACCACCTCCCCACCCCCCACCATGGACTCTTTCCTCCTGTAGCTGTATTTAGCTTTGAGTTTCTCTGCATCCAGCCAGCCCGTGTGTGTATAACCCAGGCCCTGTGCTTGGGAAGAAGCAGGGTGTTCACCCCCTGCCAGTGCCTTTTTCTGGAAAGAGGACTCCCCAGAGGTCTCCTTCCCTCTGCACCCTTCTCATCCTGGGGAAAACTGAACTGTTACAAACTCCTCACACAGTGCCTGTCAAACAGATTGCAGATGCTCTGTACCTTCCTGAATAAAGGCCCTGGAGACCACGTTGCTGTGTGAAGTGTGGTCCTCTTGGACCCAAGCTCTCAAAGAGAGTCTCGGGTGGAAGGTGGGGTTCTCTGGAAGCTGAAGAATTCCACTGGGGCTGTGACACCCTGGGAATGGGGGTCAGATTGGATAACATTGTAATCTGCAAAGGATTTTAAACACTGTCCAAAATTAGTCTTTCCTACCTTCTCCATGAAATCTTTACATAGCAGCTCAGGGCCATAGAATAGCCACAAAGGGCTCCCCCTACCCTGGTCAGAGGCACCCATGAAGCTACTGCTTGTGAAGCCTTGCTCTGTGTGGGACTAGGTACTGGGGGCTCACACCTGCAACCCACCTTCATCCCCATGTCAACTCCATGAACAGGGCTGTATAGTTTCCATTTTACAGATAGGGAAACTGAGGCTTAGAAAGAGCAAACAACTTGGCCTGGATGACAAATGGGGAGCAGAGATTCGGATCCAAATTTTGTTTGGTTTCAAAACCACTTTTGTCTTTCTCCCTTCCCAGGCAGCATCGGAGGCCAGGGAGCTGAACTTAGCTTTGCCCTGGGTCCCAGGCTCTAAGTATCGGGTGTGGCACACAGTAGGTGCCCAAGTGGGGATAGTACACTCATGAGGGTCTGGGCAGACTGAGGAAGAAGGCTGAGAGCAGGTGGCCTGCAGCACAGCAGATAAAATGCCAGCCCCCCACCGGCACCGCACGCTACCCGTCAGGCCTCTCAGCCCTGGACTGCGGGAGCTCCATTGGCAGAATTCTGTATCTGGGGTTGGTGTGACCTTTATCATTTTGAAAAGTTCTAGAAGAAAAGTACAGAAAAGCCACAGGGCCTTTACATCTTCTGTCCCTTCTGCCTGGGGTGCACACCCAGGTGGTCACGTGGAAACTGCTCACTTTAGGCTGTCCCATCTGTATTTATTCCTCTGTGGGCTCCAACCAATATCTGCACGGGCTTCCTGCCCTGGAATTCGCCCAAGCCTGTGCCTGAACAACCTTGAAGCCTGACGCATTTAATCCCCCAAGGTACAGAGCTTTTGCCAGGGAGAGGCAAGAACAGGCCCATAGATTCTTCTCCCAATCCCCCCCACTCCCACCAGAGGACACAGCCTGCCTGCTTCCTGGATGATGGGCCTATGAGATCAAGCAACCAGCTGCCCTCAGCGAGGCCGGTGGGACCACTGTCTGTGTGGCGTGATGTCCTGACCTTGCCCCTCCCGTCTCCCTGGGGACGCCCTCCCCTGCGATGCTGTTAATCCCCACTGAGATGCCTCATTTAGGTCTTGGCTTGATCGTTGCCTCCTGGGAAGGTCTCTGATCCCTCAGCTGGAGCAAGGCTGCCCCAGCCGGCCCTCCCATGGGCCAGCTTGGCCCACATGCTGGGATTTCCGCAGCTGCCTCCTCTGTGATGCTGCCCGAGGATGGACGGAGCCTGGTAACTGCTGTTCCCACACCTGGAGGGCCAATCACATGGCGAGTGCTGGGTACATGTTTGTGGCCTGGAGCCCCCTCAGTGACACAGTAGTGAGGGCAAAAGAGCCACTTGGCTCATGGGTCCCCTGTCCAGTGATGTGTCCCATAGCCCCTGCAGCCGTTGCTTCCCCATCATACAGAAATGGGCTTACAGAGGCACTGGACAAGTGCTTTCTGGAGTGGGTGAGAACTGTGCCCTCTTATGATTCTCTCCTCTATGGCTACCCCCTGGCTTTTTGACCCCCACCAATGTGCAGCCCCTGTAGTCATTAAGCATCACCCACTCGTGCTCTTGCAGCACCTCCCACCCCACTCAGCCTCCTATGCCCCCTCAGCAGGCTGACAGACTGCTGCAGCCCCAAACCCCACGGTTGCTGCCCCCTTCTCCCACCCTGGATGTTGGCCACCTACCGGACAGGAACTCCCTCCAGTGCTGTAACTAGGGAACTGGAAGCACCCTCTCCTCCTACTCACCCAGCATGTAGCATAAACCCCTAGTGGCCCTGGCCAGGGAGAAAGGGCCGGACCCCAGGGTGGGGGGGTGTAGTTAGAGAAACCTGGGCACCCCCAAGCCATGTGGGCCCCTGCATGGGGAAGTGGTGTTCTCTGGCTCAATTAATGGTACCTTGAGTCTTTCTGCCTGTTTCAGACAAACTTCAGAGGCCAAGGCTACCCTCTGAACCCTGCTGCCCTTAGAAGAAGGAATCAGCGTGAACCAGATGGAGCTCAGGGAGCTAGCTGCCAACAGGCCTGTCCTGAATGGACATCATGGGGGCTTGGGGTCACTCCCACACAGCCCCACAGCCTCACGAGCGTTTGACTCTCTTCCCCTGACATCTCTCAAGGACTGTGCTAGGTGCCTGTACAAAATGGAGGCTGAAGCAACTGCTTGAGTACTTATGCTTCATCAGGTGTGTCTCCTCCTCAGCCAAAGAGCGAGTGTGAGGGTGCTCGGCTGCAGGTAATCTGCCCCGGTCACACATCTGGACCCAGGGAAAGAACCAAGGGCAGGGTAGCTCTTGGGACCACTGGGCTCATGGCGAGAGATGGGCTTAGGGTGGCCATGTACCTCATGGACTGGAGAAGCCCCTCTCTAACTGGAGACCATGTGGCAATTCCGGTGTCAGGTCGTGCTGTCAGCACAGACCCTGCAGATGGCAGCTGCTGCAATGGCAAACTGCAGACCCTTCCAGACCTAGGTCAGCTCACAGATGGGAGGCTGTGCCTTACCCTCCACACCCCCTCATCCCTATTAACCCCTGGGAAAATCATGGTAGCTGCACATATCCCCTTACTTCCAATCCAACTTTAAAATCCCACCCTGGGTTCTGTGTCCTGTGGAGACCACCTGTGGTCAGGTCAGCATGAGGGGCCAGTCCTGGGGAAGGATAGGAGCAGACATGCAGCTTCCCCCACCCTGCCCCAGTCAGCTGCCAGGAGTGCGGTGTCACTGGGGCAGCCCCACACAGGTGCCCGAGCCCTGGAGGGTCAACACTGTGAAGGCAGTGGCAGCTGGCTGCCACGTGACCGTGAGGCAGCACAGACCATGCTGAGTCACTCAGGCTGGGTGCTGCGTGAATTCAGTTTCATTAAGAACTTTTCCAGTAAATGCCAGCATGGTGGTGACCCCAGCCCATACATGCCAGCACAGTGGTGCCCCCAGCCCAGCCCCATCCCCGCCCTCTGGCCAGTCCTCCATGCCCTGACGGAGGGCCTTTCCCCCTTACCTAATTGGGCAGGGAGCTGGGGTCACATTGAACTGTCCCCCAGTTCTGCCAGGTCTGAGAAAGGAACAGAAGCTGAAAATAACAGAGCTCCTTGGGGGTCCACAGTGGGTTGTCTGCAGAGCACTCAGACTGTCTTGATAACAAGGGAGCAGCAGGAAGACCTTCTTGAACCAGTGTGATAACAGGCGCATGGGGGAAGGCCTCTGGGCGAGGGACCAGGAGACCCAAGCCTGCCTCTCAGCAGCTGTGGGCCCTGCCAGCTCTAGGATCTCTCCTTCCCCCATCTGCTAGGGCCCCAAGATCACTTGGGGGTCACTGCTGAAGTCTAGGGAGTCACTTGGCTTACTGTAGTGGTCTTCACCTTTGGGGTATCACAGATGCCTTTGATAATTTAGAGGAAGCTCTGAACCCTCTTCTTAGAAAAATGCCCATATGCATATACACTTCTACATACAAATTAGGGACTCCCACACATTTCCCCAAAGCCCCTGGATAAATCCCCATATGGTATTTGGACCCTGGCTAAAGAACCTTGGCTTGTAATAGCCCTTCCCAATAATGCAGTATGGATGTGTGCCCACCGCCTCCACTGCATAAGCATCTCTGTGCCTCGGAGACCTGCCTGGCCTCTGCCTGCCTCTTTCCCCTCCTTAACCATCTGGCCTTCTCAACAGGTGTCACCATAGAACTAGGCCCACCTGTTCTCACAAACAGCTCCTTATTGGAAACAACCATGACCACTCCTTCATGTACTGTCTGCTTTCACACTGCAATGCAGAGTTGAATTGGCACCACAGAGACTGGCTACAAAGCCTAAAATATTCACTACCTGTCTCTTTACAGAAAAGTCCCCCAACCCCTGCACCTACTGATGAAGAATTACTACCTGGCAGGCACCATGCCCATGATTTAAGATTAAGTAGTTTAATCCTTATAAAAACTCCATGAGATGCTCTGTCAACCCTATTTTGTACATAAGAAAGCAGAGACACAGAGAGGGTAACTGTGGAGAAGTTGGGCTTCCTATGGCCAGGATCCTCACTGAACTTAAACCACCTGATTGATGTAACTGGCCTGTTGCTAGGCTACCGCTTCCATACCTTTAGGCAATAAGCTATTATTGCGCTATGTAGAGAGCTCGGCCCAGTGCTCTGAGCGGAGGCAGGGACGCTAGTGCTTGACCTACTGCTGGGAGAACAAGCCAGGTAATAAACCCTTTCACCCCAAAGAACGTTTTGCTGTCAATTTCTTTGGTCACATTGAATCCATAGTGAACTAGCCCCAGGGCTGAAACCCATTTGGCAAGACAGTAAGTAACTTATCTTAAAATCACAGAGCTGGTAAGCAACAGCCCCAGGCTTCGACTCAAAGCTCTAGATCTTCCCATGACCCTACATGACTGAGTCCCCGGAGGAGCCGCAGGATTTGTCCTGGCACCTGGCTGCATCACAGGATTGCTGGGACAGCGGTTGTCAAGCTCTGAGTCCTGGTTTTGGTGACTATAAGCCTGGCTGAGCCCTGGGAATGTTGACCCCAAGCATAGTCTTATCCTGGGGATAGTGGCTGAGCTGTAGAGCCCAGGCCTCAGCTCTGCCCTCAAGACCAACAGGCAGGACCTCTGCCCAGCCAGCCCAGGGGAGCTGGGGCGGGGTGGCTCCTGGTTTGGAGCCCTCTGACAAAGCGCTGTTTGTTCTAGGCTCTGTGTGACACCCACAGGCAAGTGCGTCCCACACAGCCCTCTCCCCACCAAGACCACGATGCAGACCCTCTGAGGCACTGTAGCCCTCCCCACCCACCCCACA